GACAAGGGGTGGTCTGTGGTAGCTACATAGTCTGGTGTCAATTTGGGACTTAAAAGGATTAAAAGTGAAGGTGTGGAGTGTTCTGTGTCAATTGGGTCATAGCCAATGAGGCTTCTGTGTGGGCATGGCCTTCCCCTAAGGATTCTGGAATTTCCAGTATTTCCTCCTTGGAGGCAGGAGACAGTACCCTACTCTTGGTACCATAATGTGTTAGTCCAGATAGACTAGAGAAACAAATCCATACAAACTCATATGTGTGTGAGAGAGATTTTTATATAAAGGGTAATTGTACATTATGAAAGCATCCCAACCCAGTCCAGTCCAAGCCCATAAGTCTGATATTAGCCCATATGTCTGATACCAATCTATAAAGTCCTCTTCAGACTCACGAACCACATGCAATGATGCTGAATACAGGGCAATCACAGAGTGAGAATATTAAATCACATGAAGACTATAAACTGAGGTCAACTTGGGGGCATTGGTTGACAGTATGTATTTTGTGTATAATTTGAGTGTGAGACAATTTGAAAGAAGGGTGTCATGGGGTTAAGTAAAGCCAAAGTGTTCAATTTTATCTGAAATGCAATAGGTTCAATTTTATCTGAGAGGCAATATGAAGGTAAATCTGTGATGAAACATTGTCCTAGCAACTATGTGTGTATAGAATGGACTAAGTTCAGAAGAAACACAAATTCTGCTCTCACGGAGCAAGATGGCGGAGGAGCCCAAGTCAGTGCTGCAGCTCCCAACCCCTGCTGCTGCTGGCGGCGAAGGACTTACGGAGGTCTCCCCAGAAACCATCACCCCTAAACCCCCTTCTTCCGCTGCAGTCTCCCCGGGCACAGAGGAACCTTCAGGAGACACCAAGAAAAAAATTGACATCCTTCTAAGGCTGTGGGAGATACCCCTATTATGAAAACGAAGAAGTGGGCTGTAGAGCGGACCCGAACCATTCAAGGACTCATTGATTTCATCAAAAAGTTCCTTAAGCTAGTGGCCTCTCAACAGTTGTATCGCCACTGACACCACTGGTCCTGAGGTGATCATCTGCTCTGGATTCCCTGTGTTTCCAGTTCCTGTCTGTGCGGGTGTACGTCCTCTGGTCTAGCCAGATTTGTAAGTTTATTTATGTGAATCAGTCCTTTGCCCCTTCCCCAGACCAGGAAGTTGGAACACTATGAGTGTTTTGGTAGTGATGGTAAACTGGTCTTACATTACTGCAAGTCCCAGGCATGGGGATGAACCACAAAGAAAAACAACTTGCAACGGAATCATCCCAAAGGAAAAAGTCCTGAAAAGCTTTGGTGTTTGTGGCCAAAGATTTTAAGGATAATGACCTGCTATCACCTTGTATCTACTGCGACCAATTGTTTATGCACAAGAAATCATCTAGAGTAGATGCCCCCAAATGGAACTTGTATTCATATGCACCACATCATGGAAGATTAGGGTATACCAATTGCTGCTACAATCAGTGATCCGGACCTGCCTCCAAGGAACTGAAGAGGAGATTAAGTAAATATAAAGCTTTCCGTATTATAAGTTCTCAAAATGACAAAGATAGTTTGCTTCTGCTGTATTAGCACTCTTTTGTTTTGGGTTGTTTTCCATCAAAAAGTTTATTTACTAAAGAGTTGGTGTTTTAGTTTCTGTTTGTTTTTATCTATTCTAAGAAACACAAATTCTAATACTAATTGCAGTGATAACCAGCTAACATGGCCTTTGCCAGTCACTATTCTAAATATTTTCATATACTAACATGTCTAGTCCTCAAAGTAGCCATCTGAAGCAGATACCATGGTATCTAAAGAGTTTGAATTCTGAGCACTTGTGGGAAGCTATAGTTTACAGTTGGATACCTAAATCCATTGGGAGTCTTGACTTCAATTTAGCTTCCATTGAGTTCTGGACATTGACCCCTGACCCAATGGGCATTGCGTCCATTCTGAGTCATAGCAACCCTAAAGAAGAGCAGAAGTGCTCCCCAGGATTTCTGAAGTTGTGACTCTTTATGGGAGCAGAAAGCCTCTTCTCCCACAGAGGGGCTGGGGAAATAGATATGGTGACCTTGCAGTTCGCAGCCCAACATGGAACCACCATGCCACCAGGGTGCCTTTGACCGTTAACCAGCAAAGTGAAGAGGTTTGCCCTCAGACAGAGTGAATTTGGAAGTGGGTGGCTAAGATTCCGCTGGCCAGCCCGGGGATGACCACACTCATCTTCAATAATTTTCCTGGGCGTGTTTTCAGTGAAAATTGAGGCATCAGTTTTGCATGGCCATGAATTATACCTCAACCAACATGGTCAGAAAGTACCAGCACCAAGCCTGTACACTTTTCTTATCTGCAAAAGTGTGTGTATCCCAATCATGGTTCTTTCTTGATGCCATAGTCCCACCTGGAATAGTGATGGATTAATCTGCCACAAATCATGATTTTGTGATAACTTTCCTTTGTTTTTCATGCTTTATAATTTTGCCACTTGGCGGTGAATCTTTTGGACACTGTTACGGCCTCCTGCAGATAGTATCTCATCCAGATATTTTGTTTTTGTCTTTGTTTTGTTTAAGATTTAATAAAGGGGTTTCTAAGGAGACTTGGGAGAGAAAGATGAGGCTTTCTACTCCCATAAAGAGTTATGGTCTCAGAAAGTCACAGGGTCAGTTCCACCCTGTCCTGTAGGGTTGCTATGAGTCAAGGTTGACTGGATGGCAGTGAGTTTTTGGAAGGAGTGCTGATGGCGTAAGAGTTGTGTATTGGGCTCCTAGCTGTAATGTCAGCAGTTCAAACCTACCAGCCACTCTGAGGGAGATTGATGAGACATTTTGCTCCTTTATAGACTTACAACCTCAGAATTGACTGGGACAATCTAATCTATTTTATCTGGTCAGAATTGACTCAATGGCAGTGAATGAATAAAAAAGGCTTCTATGAATACATTTGGAATTGAAATGAGGACACTGAAACTTATAAATAATGCCCACTTTGAGGAGTTTAAAAAACACTACTTGTAGAACTCTTTAATAAATTCACAGGTTTATTCCTAACCAAATGTGTTTACACAGGTCTCTGTGATGAGTGGACATCTGCAGATGTTTTATTGTTTGTTAGTTTTTTTCCTCTAATACCCTTGTCTTTGCCTCATTATGATGCCTTCAGATAAAAAAGAGTAGTTTTTGTTAAAAGGAAAAAATAATTTTGATGTCAGTTTTTTTAAAACTCAAGTATATATCTTCCCAAATCATTAAGGCTTTGCAACACGTTTATGAGAATGCTAACCCACATAAAATAACAGTTTTTAGATGGATCAAGTGCATGTTTTAAGGAAGGTATGGAAGATGTCAGAGAGAAGTCAAGAGAGGAAAAATACGTCAACCTCCAGGAAAGAGTCATAGCAACCCTAAAGGAAAGAGTAGAAGTGCTTGTGATGGGAAAGAACTGGAACCTGGAACTGGTGGCTGAAGACAGTGGACTTACCATCGACACAATAGCTACTGAAATTGGACTCTCACAGTTCAACATCTTCCATTTTGATTGACTATCTGGACCTCAGCAAGTTTTTAGCATGATGCACGAGGAAAGCATTGCATCGACATCAGCTAGATCAAAGAGCTGATATTTCCATCCATCTTTTTAGCAAGACTTAAGCTAAAGAAGTTATTTTATAGAATGAACTGTAACCAGGGATAAGTCTTGGATTTGCGAATACCACGCAGAAGGCAGCAGACAATCAAAACAATGGTTTTCAAGAAGAGCTGTTCACGCAGACGAGTCGGGTTAGCAGGTTACAGGGACTATTTGGGGAGCACTCCAAAGACATCCTCTTGTCAGACTCTTCTCAAAGGACGCAGGACTATCATCGGGGCTTATTAGTAAAAAGTTTTAAGAAAATTGAAAATTGCATTGGTGAGAAAAAAGGCTGGGAAACTGTTCCAAGGAATTTCTTTTCCATTTTCACAACTCACCTGTTCATTTTTTTGAAGGTAGGGTCTGGCTGTGAGAATTTTGTTGGGACACTTTACTCCATCCACTTACAACCCTGATCTTGTCCCTTCGGACTTCTTTTTAGGCCCCCCAGATGAAGAATTTTTAAAGGAAGCACAATATATATGAGTCCTGTGATATGCCAAACTGCCATTTCCATTTTTAAATTCACAGAAGGGTTTGCTAGATGGAAACACCACCTTCAGAAGTATGTTGACCTACATAGAGGATATGTAGAGGAACAATCGCTTCACATTTTGAACATTTTGTTTGGTAAAGGTTTCTATGATTTTGTAGAAAAACTTTCGCACTTACCCTCATACATTTTGTTTTTCCCTAGAGAACTCAAAACTACTTACCTGCCATCGAATAGATCTTACTGGTTTTAATTAGGAAAAATGTCAAGTTAGACAAAAGTAGGAGAAATACCATAAGGATACCTCTATGTGCCCATCACTCAACTGATGGCCAATCGATGCATTTATTATACCCCCACAGATTCACCGTGGGTCTTGTCCCCAATCATTTTGGAGAAAAGCGCAGAATTTTTATTATTGCAGCACCTAAATCTTTCTCTACAATAATAGAAAGATCGGTGGTTGGAATTCACTACTCACCCCTCTAGGAGAAGCTGGAAGTCTGTTTCTGCTTATATGAAGATTTACAGTGTTGGAAACCCTATGGGGCGATTGTACTCTGTGCTGTAGAGGTCCTGAATCGCAATCAGCTGGGTCTGGTGTGGGGACTTGGATGTATTTCTAAAGATAACCATGACCACAAGACCATCGCAGTATCTTTGAACCTTTAAAAGGAATTCCTAAATATCAAGTGTCAGTCTATGTTCAAAGTGCAAACGCCGCATCTACTTTTAATGAGTGTTGAGAACTTGCTCTGTGCCAGCATTTAAGGCCCTTGCACACGCAGGCGTTCCATTATGTGGCCCGATTGTTTTTCTTTTCCCTTTCACTCACACGCAAGAAGGTTCAAGTCTGTCTCCACTGGGTGGCCAAAGCACTGCCCTGGGCCTTCCCAGCACCCAACCATTTCCCAGGGCAGGAAACCTCGGAGCCAGGGAGTGGCTTCCCTTTGAGCCCGGAGACCGCAGCCCCTCCCTCGTTGCCATGGCGACAAAGGGCCGCTAGACTGGGGCGGGATCATGGCGACTACTGCGGGAATGACTTCGGTGCCCACGACCCCCTCAGTGATGACCCCTGCGGGCACCTCGCCGGATACAGAGGTACGCCCCTCCGCCCCCACCGTCGCCCCGAAGATCTCGGAATTCCCTCCCCAGCCCGCGGGGCCTGCGGCCCAGGTTTAAGGCCAGGCTCCGAGGAGGCGCCCCAGGTCCCAGGCCCTGGCCCTTTGGGTGCGCGTCCCCAGAGGGCCTGGAGCGGGGGCGGACCCGGGCTGGGCAGGCTCCTGCTCTGAGCGTCCACCTGACCTTTCCGTGCAGCAAACTACATTACAGCTACATCTTACCGCCCCCCGCCCCCTAAATTCTCTGCACTCGAAGAAGAAAAGCAAAAAATAATCTCAGAATTTAAAACGGGCCAGTGCCTTTTCTACAGTGTTGTGTTTTTGTTTTTGTTGTTGTTATTGTTTGCAATGATCACAGTTCCTATTGTTCAGAAGGTGGCATGGATTGTAATAACCCTTTATCCATGATGCATTGACGAATCTTGGGGCGGGGGTGGTGGGGTGGGGGGGGAAGA